AGATTAATAACAGTCAGACAGGTGTAACAGCAGGAGTCCTGAACACTGAAACAGGCTGTCCAGGGGACCTGCAGCATCTTCATCACTGATGGGTTTAGGACCAGGATAAATGAAAAGCGGTTATGAATGATGTCTGCATTATCAGTCCATGTTGAGGGATGACTGAGGGATGGACTAGATATCTTTTGAGGTTCTTCCCAGTCCTACTTTTTAATGGTATTTTATACTTACACAAACTACAGTGTTCTGAGTTTCTTACATATAGCATTGAGTGTAGTAAATTACAGATTGGAAAAAAAATATCCCTATCCTAGCATTCAGCTTTTAGATTATAAACCAAGGAACCCAGAATCAGTTACACTGAAAATGTAAATAGAGAAAAGATCTATTCCAGACAGTGAGAAAACTCTCACTGATTTCTATTACTCTTGGATCAAACTCAAAGAAGTATATTCTTTGAGAATTGTTAAAGAATATGTTGAATAAAATATAAAACTACTAAGCTTGCCAGCAAAAAATTTCATCCATCTCTAACTGAGGTGCTACTGTTTAACTTCAGCTTCATCATTTAGACATATCTATGGTTTTCTGCCCATAGGAAAAACACTCAGTGTGTCCTCAGGATTTACATGTAAAAGAAAACTTGTTCAAAAGGAATAGTTTGGCAAAAAAAAAAAAAAAAATCTAACTTCTGATGCAATTCATTTACTCTTACCACTGACCTATATTGCTATCAACATTTTTCGTCATATAATCAAAAATACACTGGTGACTACAGACTGTTCTTTGTTTAATTGCAGACAGTTTGCTTTGTTTAAYTGCAGCATGTAACTTTTTTTTCTACCATTGTTGATCCACCATCTAGCAAACTACTGTCTAAATAGTATATATTCTCTAGTCTGGTATTTTAAGTTAAATTGCAGTTCTAATAGCTGACATTCAGTAGCCCTCTTATTCATCTGGCTGCTGACAAAAGACATTTCTGAATCATGTGTGGAATAGTAATATCCTGATCTAGTTACTCAGAAAAATAGATGCCTTGCTAGTAAGTATGAAACAGTTAGATATCTAAAGCTGCACGCACAGCTGAATGATCAAAATGCCTATTTAGCATACGTGATTCTCAGCTGATTGTGGTTATATGCTGCTGAATATATGTGTGTTAGAATGTAGTAAGCTACAGCAATTATGGAACTTGTAATAACTTCCACACCAGACCATCTAAGTTCAGTGCTCAGTTAGCAGTCAAAAAGTTAGTCTGAGTTGACATCTAAATTAGGGCTAAAATATAGGCTGCTCCAAGAGCAACAATGGTTAAATAGTCTGCTCTCACCCTATCTGCCAGAAATTGCTCTTTGTAGGAAGCAATGACTCAACATCTGTTTGTGCGAGCAGAAAATGCCTASATTAGTGGGTGCTGGAGCATGTTTTAAATGCGACCTGCAGTCAGAATGCAAATGAAGTCAGGCAAATGGTAGCAGCTCTGACTGGCAGACCACATGCAGGAATCCTCTCGTGCCCCGTTGGATTGCAAGGAGCAACCTTCATCATCTCACAGAGCAACAAAAAGCACTGCCTCGCTGCAGCTGGTATAGATGGTCACCTTCTATTGGAGTTTTCTGATCATGGAATTTGTGTTGGCTACTCTGTATTTCAGAAATTAAAAAAGAAAAGGTCTGCCTTGACATCCAGGAAGGCATTTCTAACACGAAATGGATGAATACAAGAGTCACAATAGAAGCTAAGTCTTTTCCATCCAAATAAGATCTCACTGGAATTACTCTGATCTACATGATGATAGTTTTTTTTTTTAAGTCAAACAAGGATTTTTTTTTTTTCTTCTGAGACATAGAGAATGAGCAAAYATAACACCAAATTACTGGGGCCATCATGCTATTTACCAGAAAAAGAAAAATCTAGCTTTATGTTAATTAGGTAAAATCCCAAATGTGATGGTATTTTTAATAGTCTCTCTCTTTTCCATAAATTTTTTGAAAACCTTYGCCTTTTTTTCATTGTAGACAGGAAATATTTCTGAATATTTTTTCTGAATCTCTGAAAAATTTATAAGATTATTGTGCCACTATTGTATCATAGTAGCCATTATTTAAAGTGTACTAGTTACCTGAAAAAAGACTTCCAGAGAAGTATCAGACAATCCTCTAACGAAAACAAAATTCAAATCAAAATCAAACCAAACTCCAAACACTTAATTCTTAGTAGATTCAATGGGAGCAGTGAATAGCATTTACTGAGATGTCCTGACAAAAGGAACCCAATTTTCCAGACAGATTTTATTTGAGCYTTTCTTATTTAATAACTGTATTGAGATGTGACAACGATTCTTTCAGGGAGTCAACACGGTTTCCACCTGCTGTAATTTCACTGCTTCTATAGCTCTCAAGTGTGTGAAAGATGCTTTCCTCTTGTGCTGCAGGTAACCAGAGATATGATGGGGAAGAATGGGAGAGAAGAGGATAAAAGCATAGAATGTTATTTAGTTTTAAACAATTGATCAAGGGAAATGCTTCATAAAAACTAGAGAAGTCATTGACAAAGCGGCCATTATATAATGCCCTACCTTCTATTGCAGATGTTGATCCTACAGGTAAAGATGAAGCAGTATATCTTTAGTCATGAACTACAGCATTATTCCATGGTGAAGAGCGTGGTTGCTATATTTTCTAGSCTTTTCTGAACATACTTCAAAAATGCCTGAACTTCTCAAAAATCTTCATGAGACAGACTGCATTCTAAATTATTCCCATCCTGAAGAGGAAGGAGAACTTGAACATTTCTAATATGTAGTGTTTACTGTGTCTCATGATTCCTATTTTTCAATTTGTAGATTAGGAACAGATATTTTTTAAAATAAATGAAAAAGAAGAAACCCTGCAGGTAAACAACATACACTTTGAAACATGGGGCTCTGCTTAACTTCAGCAGGAGAATGAAGAAGAAAGGAGTGAATATTGAAAGGTGTTTTTAGAGAACATACTAGGAAATATAACAGAGGTTCCCAAACTTCTCAAACTTTTTTTGGAGTGCTATCAACCCTCAGAATTTCTTATGGACCACCAGGCATCATTATCATCTAACTTTTAATTGAAAACACTATGAAAAACACTGTTTAATATGGCTCTGCGGATTAGCTGCAAACCTTTTACCGTGGCCTCCTGGACCACCAGTGTTCTGTGGACCATGGTTTGGGAACCACTGAACCAGACTACACACATGGTACACCCCAACAAAACACTTCTGAAAAGCAGAAAGCAAAGTCTGAAAGCAAAGTCAATCCTTCTATTATATAATGTACTCAAATAACAAGCAAATGAGTTTAACCTTCTCAGTACCTGAAAATCACAGCCCTCTTTCATTTTTCTCTTACTTTTCTCTTAATTTTCTTTTCTCTTAATTTTCTTACTTTTCTCTTAATTTTCTTTTTTTTCATTGCTTTGGAGAAACAAGTTAATGGAGCCAAAAAATCAGTTTATAATTGCTTCTTGTATGATCTCTCTCAAATCCAGCAGTGGTGTAACCTTTCAGGAAACTATCTAAGAAAATAAGAAATACAAAAAAAAAAAAAAAAAAAAAAAACCTATTTTCAGTCTTAGC